TAAAACAGGGATAGTAGAACCAACTTGGGAAGGTGACTATGAGGTGAAGCCTATGTGGTAAAGGTCAATATAAGTGGATGGTGGAGCTAGGATCCCTATTTTTTTTTTTTTTTTTAAGCTGAGCCATCCTGCCACCTGTTGGCAGCTCAGCAGCAGCTCAACCTGGGCCGGGAATTGAATCGCTGTTGCTCAGAGTTCAAACTCTTGAGCAAGCTCTTAACCAACTGACCACTCGGCTGGCCTGCTAGGATCCTAATACAGGTCTTCTGGCTGGTGCTGGTGTTCTTTCCACTTCATTGACTCATTGAACATGTAGGCTTGGGATACCCTCTTGGTGCCAGGAGCGGCACTAGGTGCTGGATTCAGTAGCAAACCAGATGCAGTACCTGCCCTCATGCCCCATCTCATTCTGCAGAAGATGTTCTTCTCGAAACGCATCTCTCTTCTTTGCACTTGAAGTTAGTGGTAGTCCAGGGTAAAATATAAATACAAATATAAAAGAAAAAAATAGATTTTTTTCCTGGTGCAAAGGGAAAGAGCCCCTCCTTACCTTCTTCTTAGAGTATTTACTCTAGAAAACTTGTAAATTCTTTGTCTTTTTGAGGTTTTTAAAAGCTAAGTGGGCCTTTGCCAGTTTTACAACCCAGAAATGTTTTTTCTCAAGGACCTGGGCACCATCTCTGAAATGTTAGCTTAACTTCCAGAAAGCACCTGGGTCCGAGTTGCAAGCCTACCTTCTGTGGTAACAACATGAGAAATTTATTTCCCCTTTGGATAAATACAATTAGCAAACACAAATGGTTGCTCCAATTGCCAGGTTAATTTAGGATGAACTCTCTGTGACAAATGGTGCTGTCAAGTCCTCTCATTTGAGAACACGGATGTTATGGGTTGCACCTGCCTTGCCTGGCTCTGTAAAAGTGAGATTTCTTGCTGTCTTTGCAGTTTCTTTAGCAGACTGCCTCTGATATGCACCACATTCTGGCTTAATGCTTATTCAATACTATATAACTGTTTTCACCCTCCTCCCTTCTCCTGTGGAATTATTTTGGGCTGGCAGAGTCTGTGTTTCTAACGGTAGAAACCCGCCTGGCCGCAAAGGGCTTCAGGAGAACTTGCACAACCTGAACTAATATAAGAATTAGCCCCCTACCTCCATCCCAGCATTTGCAGCGGGTGCTGTCCGCGCACCTCCCAGCCGCAGCACAGATCTAGTCAGCCAGAACAGTAGATTCCCGCATCCCTATTTTTAGCTGCCGCAACTCCCAAGGTCACGTTACCCACCGGCTGGTAGCACCCGTGAGCGCCGGTTCACGCTCCGCCCTGTCCCGCCCTAGCCACGCCCACGCCACGCTAAGGGTGGAGCAGCCGGCAGAGCGTTAGTCAGGAGCCAGGAGTCCGCGCCCTGCGGCCCGCGGCCCGCGGCCCGCAGCGATGAAGATCTGGAACTCGGAACACGTGTTCGGGTGAGGTCGGGCTCCGGGCCACTGTGGGGTCCCGGCTGGCTCCGGCTCCTGCCCCCCGAGCCGCTGGGGGAGGCCAGGAAAGACCGAACCCCATACCTGGCCCTCGCATAACCTGCCCAGCCCAGCGCTGACCGTTCCCAGACCGCAGCCTTTGCCTCATAAAGAGGCACAGACAGGCTTTCTGACCCTTCTAGAGGCGTCGTTAGGTAGAGAGACGGTGCAGTGCTGTTTGATGGAGGCGCCGCCTGACTGAGGGAGGCAGTGGTGGGATTATTGAAGCGCGGAGGAAGGGATTGGCCTTTCTTTTCGAGGGTCACGGAGGGCGGAGCCGCGGGATGCATCTCAGCTCGTATAGGGCCCAAAGGCTGGGGCTGGGAGCACCCTCCTTGGCGTGGTGTCCCTGGTGGAGTGGACGCGGCACGGAGGGACCCGGAAAGGTGACTGCACACTCTTCAGCCCACCGAGGAGCAGGCCTGATCTCGCCTATACCCTGTTCTTAATTGGGGCAAGGGGCACGGGATCCTAGGGATATTAGAGGACCGGAGAGCGGCCCGGTCTTTTGCTGAGATTTATACAGAGCAAATGATCACAATTTTTTTTTTTAATGAAGGGTCCACAGCAGCCCAGAAGCTTGGGAGAAATCCAGATGTGGAGAAAGCATGTGGGGGGCTGTGGCATGGAATGCACTTGTGGGCATGGAAGGCCTCCAAGCTAGCATGGAAAACTGGGAGCAGTTTAAGAGTGCCTCCGTGACGTAAATGGTACCTTCGTCGTACGTCATCCATCAGTGACACTCTGAAATCATTCTTTAATATTTTTTAAAGGAATAAAGATCTTTAAATTCCCTGACCCCACTTAGAGAAACATTTCATTTTTGAAAAAAATATCAACAATAATTAAAAATTAATTTAAAAAAATTAAAAACCGCTTGAAGTGGAATTGTCACTCAGGCCTTTTTATGTAAAATTATAATAAAAATGTATCAAGTGATTAAAACCTCTAAATTATTTTTAATCAAACCTTTAGACTTGATAGGGTTTAATTTTAGTGTTAATTTTTGTACAGCCTGCAGCCTTTTTGAACTGGGGTTCCCTGAGAGACTAGGTGAAAGCCCCAGTGAGAAGGACACCAGAGATTCTTCTCTCAGTTCTCCCAAGGATGGGACATAACTGGCACCATCTAGATGCAGAGGGGAAAAGTTAAGTCATTGCCTACTGTAGATGCCTGGGCAGTGGGGCTGTTTTCTGGTGGAATAGTTGACAAGTGCTGCCCTAGAAGTAGGTGAAATGTTGGTTTACAAGCAGAAGTGAATTGTCAGCTCTGAAAAGTCACTATTGATAAAACCCATCCATTTAAAGTGTACAATTCAATAACTGTTAGTAAATTTAGACTTGTACAGCTATCATCACAGACCAGTTTTAGAAAACTTCCGTCATCCTACAAAAACCCCTTATGCCCATTTACAGACACTCTCCACTATCATTCCCAGCCTGAGACTACTGCTAATATGATTTCTGTTTCTATAGATCTGTCTTTCCTGGATATTTCATGTAAATGTAACCATACAATATGCAGTCTTTTGTGTCTGGCTTCTTTCACTTAGCATACTTGTGTTTGAGGTTCATCTGTGTGGGGGACTGTACCAGTGCATCATTCGCTTTGTATCTCTGGCACCCTGCCAGTGCCTGGCACATAGTAGGTGTTCGGTGAGGGGCTGAGAAATCTCATGGAGATCAGATGCCTTTCCAAAATGAGGGTGGCTGCCTGCCAAAAGAATTCTTATTAACCTCCAAGCTGCTGTGGACTTGGTGCTGATCCCTTGCTATTGATTTTTGAAGTTGACAGCAAAAGCCCATAATGAAAATTGACAGATGTGGAGTGCAGCTGATTGAGGACAATGTTGGGTAGGCCCCTGTGGCCTCCAGGTTTCAAATGACATAGTACTGTGCCATGGCACAGCAGACTGGGAGGCCCAGCTTTCTGGCTGGGCTTATTGTGCAGTTCTCCCCTTGCTTAGTCTGATTTTTTTGTTCTTTGAGGGTTATTGATCTTTCTTTTCCTTTTTATACTTGTTCCTTTTTATATATGTCTGTTGTGCTGTCACTTGAATATTTGATCAAAATTAATTTGCTCTGGAAAAGCAAGAAATAATTAGACACAAAACTTTTGATCATATCAAGATTTCTTTGGGCCAGCCAAGTGGCTCAGTTGGTTAAGAGCACAAGCTCTGAGCAACAGGGTCGCCGGTTCAATTTCCTCATGGGCCAGTGGGCTGCACCCAAGCTGAGCCGCTGCTGGCAGAATGGCTCAGCTGGTGAGAGCACATGCTCCTAACAACAAGGTTGCTGGTTCGACTCCCACGTGGGATGGTGGGCTACGCCCACCTGCAACTAAGATTGAACACGGCACCTTGAGCTGAGCTGCCAACAGGCAGCTGGATGGCTCAGTGGTTAGAGCTTGTGCTCTTAGCAACAAGGTTTCCAGTTCGACTCTCACATGGGATGGTGGGCTATGCCCGCCTGCAACCAAGATTGAACACGGCACCTTGAGCTGAGTGTCTGCGAGCTGCTGATGGGCGGCCGGATGACAACTGGACTTGGAGCTGAGCTAGCTGCGCCCTCTACAACTAAGATTGAAGGACAACAACTTGGCTGTTCTCCTTCCCCAATTTCCCAACACTGTTCCCCTTCCCCAATTCCCCAGTAAAAAATCTTAAAAAAAAAAAAAAAAGATTTCTTTGTCCACAATCCCAAAGAAATCCCAGGGACTGGAGAGCAATATAAACATGCCTACAAAATGGAGAACCCTTTGGGAAAGCCATCTGAATTAGCATGTGTGTTATACCTAGGCAGGGTTTAAGATAGTCTAAATACTAATGGAAAATATAGGTCTGAAATATAAAAATATAGAAAGGGGCATTTAAAAGTTGACAGGTTTATAAATTTCATTTTTACAGCATTGACTTAGGTTTCAGGTAGACCTATATAAGCTTCAAGAACAGAGCCATCACAAGTACATTTTCGTCAGAGATTCAAGGCCATACTTTCGGTGGATTCTAACAGCTACAATGAAAGATGTCTAGTAGGTGATGTCCATCACAGAAAGTACGGGCTTTTGGAGGAGATGATGCCCTAAAGTATGTTTGCTTTCTAGCCAGGAGCAGGAGGAAAACGCCACTCCCCCCACCACTGTTTTTATAAATGGGACAAATTGAACATTACAGATAAGAGTTGAAGCACCTCCCCCGTGCTATACTGCCCCACCCCTCTCTCCCCACAGGGAGTCAAAATTGTGAATTGTGTATGGAGGGGTATCCTTTTGAAGGTGTATATTCTATTTGACTACATTTGTGTGTTTATCCATAAACAATATGTTATATTGTTTGTTGTTTTAAAATAGAAATCAATGACATCTTGTACAGATGTTTTGACAATTTCCCTTCTCAACAGTTTGGTTTTGAGATCTAAGTGTGTGTGTGTGTGTGTGTGTGTGTGTGTGTGTGTGTGTGTGTGTGTGTAATAGCTATATAATATTCCATTGTATGAATGTTATAATTTATCCTTTCTCTTATTCAAAGGACATTAAGTTTTCCCAATCACATTACAAACCATACTGCAGCGAGCACCTCTGTATATACTTCTGGTCCATTTAATCAAGGACCCACTTAGATCAGCAATTCTTAAACTCTTCAGCCTCAGGACTTCTTTATACTCAGAAAATATTGGGAACCCTGAACACTTTTTGTTTATATGAATTGTAGCTATCAATATTTACCATATTAGAAATTAAGAACTTATTCATGAAAATGAACAATAAACCCATTATAACGTAAATAACATTTTTTTATTTTAAAAAACCCTATATTTCCTCCAAACCCCCAAACTAGTAAGAAGACTGGCAGTGTTTTTAGGTTTTTGTTTTGTTTTGCTAATTTCTATAATGTCTAGCTTAATAGAAGATGGTTTGATACTCATATCTGCTTCTGCATTCAATGTTTTACAATCTGTTGTTTTGGTTGAAGTATATAAATAAAACCCAGCTTCACATAGTGTGTGAATAAAACCCAGTTGGAAAAGGTATGAGTATTTTAATAGTTTTTAAAGTTACTGTGGCTATTCTTTTCTATACAACAAAACAAGTGTTAGTTTCCCAATGTATTGTAGTGTAAAATCTGAAACCATAATGATCAGAGTAATTGGCCTCTCCTGTGATTTGAGTGGGTCTTTCACCAATGCAATGTGTGATTTTGTAGCATCTTGCACAGGTCATTTGGAATATATGGGTTCACCAGGTTACAGTATGGGGCAGTCATCAGGCTCATGGGAGCAAATACAAGTTTTCTAAGATTCCAATTTTCACTTGCAACTCAAATTTTATTGTTGGCAACAAATACTATGTTGTTTTCCTTGAAATGATAGGCTTACTTCATTAATTTTTAGGAAAATGTCTGCCAAATACTGCAGTCTGAATAACCAAAGTTTGTCCCTGAGTTGTTTCAAGTAGAAGTGTTGGGTATAGAAAGAAGCAGCCAGCTGGGCCCACCAGGCCCACCACCCAAACAGCTGCCCAGAGACTTCCCGGCCTCCATGGACCTCTGTTTGCCGCAGAAACACTCCATGCGCTCTTCCTATGCCCTGACTCAAAATATTAAAAGTACTTGGGTCTAGATGTAATCAAATGAATAATTTTACTATTTTATCACAGATATAGTCTTAAGAAACACTGGCATGGCTTTCCTGAGTGCACAGCAGTGAGCAGTGACCACAACTGCAGTTTGAGACCCTGGTCTTAATTTGTGGGGCGAGGCCAGCAATTACCCACTGCTGCTTTTACAGTGTAAATGTCAGTAGGGTGAAAAGGACAAATCATGTTTTAGTAGGACTGTGAAACAGTTTTGGCCTTGCAGACTTCCTGAAAGGGCCTGGGAACCTCTGGGTGTGTGGGCCACTCTCAGAACCACAGGTCTGGGCCTACAGTCACTTTAAGTAGGGTGCAGGGACACTTTGCCTTGTTTGTGGGTACCTTCATCTCTTCTTTTCTTTTTTTTTAGCTTGCTAATATGGAAATTTCAAAAGTATGCAAAAGTGGAGACTAGAATAATAAACGCTCAGTGCCATCTCCCAGGTTGACAGTTGCCCTCTTACAGCCAGTCTAGTTTCATGCATCCCCTCCCACTGCTCCTTCCTCCATATTATTTTAAGAAATACCAGACATCCTATAATTTCATCCCACTTCCTGTTTCTGACACCCTCACAGTGCATAGAGAGAAGCCTTGGTTGTTCCTTCCCACTCCCCAGTGTGGGAACTGGAATGAATCCTTCCAACTTCCTGGCACCAGCACTGTGTGCTCCATGTAGCCACCTTGCAGTGGAGCACAGAGGCCTCCCATCCTGGGAATGGGTTCCCATTCCATCGTGGCCACCATGAACCATGGCCATGGACTGCTCCTCATGGGGATAAACTTCAGTAATTCCTTCTGTGCCTAACCTAAGCAGCTGAAAACCCTGATAGGTGGGTCGTACCTTTTCTCCATCTCCAGGTAAACTGCACTTTCAGGGGTTATGCCAGCCTATGTCTACCAGCAGTTCATGTCTTCCCGTATTCCCACATCCTCTGCAACACTTAATGTTGCCAGACTTCTCAGGTTTTGCCAATTGATTGTGTCGGGCTATTTTCTTTAACCAAGAATTGTGTGATACTGACTTGCTATACTTAAACTTTGTTATTTAAAAATTACTGTGTTTACCATTTCCTTCCATTATTCTGTCGATGTTACCTTGTGTGGTTATCCTTCTATAATTAGTGGAATTATTTATTATGTGAATATTTTAACCAGGTTGTATTTAGTTTAAATCACTAGAAAGATGCAAGGTTTTTATATAAGAGAAACATTATTGTGTGAGATATGCTTAATACAAATATTTCCTCAACTTTTAGTTTTAAGTAATTTTAAAATGCATAGCCTATTCTTAAATTAATGGTTTTTACGAGAGCAACCCTTAGGAACTTGACTTACAAGGCTCACAGATTATTTCATTGAGAAGGCCCGCCTGTGTAACTGGGACCCTTTCTGCTTTCATATATCTTTAGATTCTTCTTCCTTCCTACGGTCTTGGGTTGACCATGTCTCTGACAGGTCTTCCTCAGAGAAGAAAGGGCTCACTCTATGTATCCTACTGAGTGAACAGGACCAGCCAGATCTCTGCTTCTTCATCTCTTTATGTTAAAGCCAGTGAACACATTAACTTAGTGACATGATTCCGTGGTTTGAAAAAGCATTTCTTTGTTGAAGAGAAGGGATCCTAGACCAGGCTCTGACAATTTAGAGGCCATGGAATGTAATGGAAAGAACATAGGGTAGGGAGCTGGAAAACCTGGTTCTAGTCTGGACCCTGTTGCTAACTTTTTGACCTGGACAAGAGTTTTACGAGGATAAAGTAGATTAATGGTCAATAAATTATACTATTTTAAAAGGACATCAGATATGGGACAAAAACCTTCAATATGTTCATAATCTCTGATATTTGATTTAGTAATTCCATTTCTAGGAATTCATCCTAAGGAAAAATTAGGTATGTTGAAACTAGTATACATAAATGTTCACTACTTCTTTATTTTACAGTGCAAAATTGAAAGCAATCTAACCTACCATTGGGGAATGGTTAAATATAAATATCCACAGGATGACCTAGTGTGCTATTTATAATCACATTTCTGATATAGGAAAATGTTCATCATCAGTTAAATATAAAAAGCAGATGATAAGTCCATATATTGAGCATGATCCCAGTTTAATTTTAATTTTTTTGAAGTGTGTGTGTGTGTGTGTGTGTGTGTGTGTGTCTAGTTCTTGAGTATGGCTGTGTCTACACATGCTGTTCAAACATGTCTGGGTACATCTGGAAAAATGATTGTGTCATTGAGACATCTTTGCAGGGGGCTCAGATGCCTCCTAGGAGTGCACATACATTCTGAAGGAAGGAAGAATTAGGATAGTGAGCTCTGTGGGGGAAGGTCTACCCTAAATACACCGTGATGGCACCTGACTTGGCTCCCACTAGACTTGTGTCTGAGGTTTGGAGCCTAAACAATCATAGAGTTGGGGAAAGTAGTGAGGCAGCGAGTACCTGGTTTGGGACCTCTGATGACAGGATACAAAACAGGGATACAAGTATCTACGTCCTCACCTCAAGGGCTCAGGGCCAGAGAAAGAATAGTGGCATCCTGCAGGAGAAGCCTCAGGGAGAGCACGAACACACCTGGGGACTCCTACACAAACTGGTTATCTTTGGAAAAGTGGAATTCTGGGTGACCTTATTTCTCCATACCTTTTTTATTTTTTTAGAATTTGAACCCATATTTTTTGCAACCAGAAAAAGATATTTGGCCACTTCAAGTCATGTACCACTTAGAAGTTGAAACAAAGTAGTTGCTTCTTCATAGTGCATCAGTAACTGAGAGCAATAGCCTGTTCTAGATACCCATCAGACAGGTGTGTTTTTCTGTTATAATAGTGTTGAGCTGCCCGGTGTTGAGGTGGTCAGTTAGGACAAGGAGCCCAAGTGGAAATCACACCCAAACCTTCATTCACTGCAACAGTGTAGGCAAGAGGCAAAAATGGTGCCAACTCCCCAGTGTTCCGTCCCCTCCATGGAACAGCACAGGGTGACAGGCAGGGGATGGTGAGAATTGTCTCACTGCCCAAAAGCCCCAAACTAAAGCCTTCTGCTTCTTTATGGACTGGAGGAAGGGTGGAAGAAGGAGGAAGTGCTGAGACAGAAAAGGGCTGGGCCAGAGGGAAGGAAAGTGACTCGACCAAGGGCCCCCAATGATACGGAAGTCCCTGAGTTGGAGACTCCTGGGCTAGGAATGCAGACCTGGTGAGCATAGCCGCCCGGGGCCTAAGTCCTTGTCTGTGCACCAGGTTCTCAGTGAGACCTAGTAGCAAAGCCTTCTGATTGCCCCTGGGCAGCCCAGAAGGATTATGGGATACAGGATTTAGGTCTGGGGCCTGATTCCTCAGATATATTTGTTTGAATATACCTTAAATTAAAACCAAAAGAAAAACTTTTAATAACAGCATTAACACTGATTTTCATTTCACTCTGTGGCACAAGCATCTCTGGCTCCCAGTGCCACTCGCATACTTTACAAACCATAGAATTGCCTGCTTATGCTGGGTGATTATATTTTTCCTGCCAGCCACCCATGGGACATGGTCATCAAGGCTGCTATGAGGAAGTACCCGAATCCGATGAACCCGTGTGTTGTGGGAGTCGATGTGCTGGAGCGCAGTGTGGACTGCCGTGGCCGGCTTCACAGCCACCGCCTCCTCAGCACCGAGTGGGGGCTGCCTGCCCTCGTGAGAGCGGTGAGCCCGCAGCTGCTTGCCCCTGCTGGTACCCGCTTCACCCGGCTACACCTGCGTCGCCCTGGCTACACCCGCATTCCCCCCAATCCCCCCATCACCCTGGCTACACCCACTTTGCCCCAGCTGGCACCCATCTGCAGGAAATGACAGCCCTCTCTTAGAGTGCCCACCTGGCATTTCTGGGAAGCCCAATAGATAGTTTGTTCCTCTGTAAACGTCCGTTAACTGTTCATTTCCATGGGTCCTGACACGTAGCGAGGGTCCCCCACCCTCAGCCCATGCCACCACAGAATCCTCTTCTGCATCACTCTACTCTTGTATCCATTTGCTTGCGCTGCCATAATAAAACACCACAGAGTTGGGGGCTTTAACCACAAGCCTTTGTTTCCTCTTGGTTCTGGAGACTGGAAGTCCAAGAGCAAGGTCCGGCAGGGTGGTTTCCTCTGAGGGCTGTGAGGGAAGAGTCTGTTCCAGCTCCTCCTTGGCTCGCAGATGGCTGCCCTCTCCCTGCCTCCTCACATGGTCGTCCCTCCTGTCAACCCCAGACCTCTGCATGGCACCCTCCCTCTCTCCTTGGCTGTGCCACTGGCATAGGGGCCTTCCCACTCTTGCCCCAGCTCCGTTTTAATAAATGCTCCAGAGCATTTATTACTGTTATATACTCTACTTGAATTCATTCTTTTAATGTCTGTCCTACCTGTTAGAACAGAAGCACCAGAAGTTGCTGCACAGGGGCTGTTTATCACTGCATCCCCAGCTGTGTAGATACGGGAATTAATAAATGAAATGGTATTTTCTGTCTCATGCCACAAAATGAAAATTTTAAAACATTACTATGCTAGTTTTGCTTTGTTTTTTAGATTTTGGGAACCAGTAGGACTTTGACATACATCAAAGAACATTCTGTTGTGGATCCAGTGGAAAAGAAAATGGAACTGTGTTCCACCAATGTAAGCAATGGCCTAAGATGAGAAAGGGACTTGGTATTTCGTGGTGATGGTGCGTAGTGATCTTTTTTTTTTCCTTAGAAAGGCTGAACTTATTTAGTAGTATTTACTTATCTTTTTATTCCAGTATAATAAATGTATAGAAAAATGCAAATAATGATAAATTGTCACAAAGTGAACACAACTGTGTAACCAGCAGACAGATCAGGAGATAGAATGTGAGCATTGTGCTCCTTTCCAGTCCCTCCCCAGCTCCCCCCCACACACACACCCCGCAAGACAACTGCTGCCCTGACTTAGAACAGCAGAGATGATTTTTAGCAGTAGTTTTATTTTTCTTTGGATTTAGCAATTTTAAAAGTGACTTTCCTCCTTTACTCTCCTCTCACTTGCTCAATCAAAAAACATATTGGCCTAATGCACATTCAAAGAACATGTTGGTGAGAATGCATGGGCTAGGAACAGGGTGTATTTTATAAAATCTCACTCTGTGGATCATGTCACTGTATGCTGGAAGATTAGGTTCAGAACCACTTATAGTCCTTGGCATACCATCTTCAATTTTTGCCAGTGGCTCCCTTCCCTCATCCCAGGCAGCCCTTCTGCTGTCAAGTCACAGGGAGCCTGGCAGGCGTCCCCTCCATCAACCAATCCTGACAATTTATGTATTCTGTTCTCTCTCCTCTACTTGGAAAATTCTACTTTGTCCTTCACGAAAGCTTAGTTGTCAGTAAAGAGGGTTGGTTCATACTACAATGAGAACTAGTGGCAAGGAAATAGGGCTTGGAGTAGGACACATGTGAACCTATATCCTAAAATTATCGCTGTATGGCTAAATGACTGTATATGTCACTTATTAATCTTTTCTGAGTCTCATATTCCTTGTCTAAAAAAAATCTCAAAGTATTTTTATGAGGATTAATGAAAGGAAATAAGGTTTATAAAATACTGTGCCTATAATAAAAATATTGCACATAAAATGATAATAGCTGATTGGAATTTAATTGTTAATGTTGGTAAATATTTCCACACACTGTAATGACTGTAACTAATGAGACTCTTTTGATTACTCTATGCTCAATAGGAGGGAAGAGATTTCGGGGCTAACCGCTTAGCTGGAACAGTGAAGCTAGGGGGAGGATTTCAGTGTGAGATTATTACATGAGCAAAAGATAAATGCTTTAAGTTTATCATTGCTGGAAGATTATATTGCTTTTGACCACTTAAACTTTTTAAAAAAATGGTCTTATATTGGAATTGGCTCTTTGCTAAAATAGTAAATTGGGTTAAACAAAAATAAAATTCTAGAGCTCCATTGGCCAATGTGGCAACAACATGTGGCTATTTCCATTTAAATTAATTAGGATTAATTAAAATAAAAAGTTCCTCAGTCATTGTAGCCACATTTCAAGTGTTCATTAGGCACACATGTTAAGTGGCTTCCACAATGGACAGCACAGATATAGGACATTTCTTATATCAGAGAAAATTCTGTGGGACAGTGTTATTTTAAATAGGTTTTAACGAAAAAGATTAAAAATGTACACAAGGGTCTAGTTGGTTTAGGAAACAGCACTGGAGGAAGCAAGGTCTATACAACCTTGCTCTCCAGTCTGTGTAGATTCAGGGCTCTGCCCTGTGAAACCCCAGGACACAGTATCCCAAGCCAGGGTCTGCCCTTGGTGGGTGAGAAGCGTCTTGCTTATTTACCTACATGCTAACCCAGCAATATTGTGTCCTTTTCTGCTGAGGGTTTGGCAGTTTGAGAGAACAGGTTTTCCCACCATCTGAAAGTAGAGCATTCCTACGAAACCTTTTGTAACCCTAAAATGATGAAGTAGTTACCTTAGGACACATCTTGCTAATCAGTGCACAAAATAAATGGAGATAAAGCACAGATGCTCACAGCCACAGTTCACATCTGTGGTGGCTTGATGCTGAGATGCTGAGTGTAGTTTCTGGAGTAGGAGCTTGGCGGGGCCACTCCCTCTGCTTGGGGTGCACACTACAAAACAAACCCTGAATGCTATTTTAGCTTTTTACCTTTTTTTCATAAAAGCAAAGATCCTCTTTGGATTTCTTTGGTTAGCAAGAACGGGGACTAATATAGGTCATTCCTAAAAGTAGTGGCATATGTGAACTTTCAAAGAGTTGGGGATATCTGTCCCTTGAAGGCAAGCCCAACTCAGGTTTGGGTGGGGTGTGGAGAGAGGGCAGGTGACAGTTGCCAGGAGCAGCAGCCAGGAATCAGTTTCCCTGGGACTTGATGTGGTGGTGCTTCCTGGGCCTAAATATTTCTTATGTTCTGGCTCCAGGAATTGCTGTTTGGGGTTGGAAGAGTATGGGCAGATGGTTTGCAAAGAAATGCAAGAGAAATAGAACCTAAAGCCATTGTTTCTGTTTTTAAGATCACACTCACAAACTTGGTGTCGGTGAATGAGAGGTTGGTGTACACACCCCATCCAGAGAACCCTGAAATGTACGTCATCTTGTGCTGGCATTGACATGGTAAACTCCAAGGTCAGGGTGGGGTGGAGCCTCCCCCCTCAGGGTTACTCATCCCTTTACTTTTTGCTCTTCTGTAGGACTGTGCTCACACAAGAAGCCATCATCACTGTGAAGGGGATCAGCCTTGGCAGCTATCTGGAAAGTTTAATGGCCAACACAATATCATCCAATGCAAAGAAGGTATGGATGTTTGTCTGGCCCCAGCGTGTGCTCTAGCTGTTAAGTGCCAGAATAAGAGGGTGAAATGTGTAGCCCCGTAAGTCCTGATTCCTGGGCTCTCTGTCTAGTTGAGCTCATAATACCACAGCATGTTCCACAATTACATTCAAAACCAGTGGCAGGGGAGACTGGCCCATCTGAAGGGAAAGTGTCGGGGAAACCCGGCAGAGGCAACTACCACTTCAAAGAGCTGAAATATCATAGGCTCAGTGAACAAAACAAACCCCACACATCAAAAGGAGCGTGTTTACATTGTCAGGCAGTATATTTGGGATTTTTAGTAGTTTCATATTTGATAGGCATTATGTGGCTTCAGCAAAACCTCTCCATTTGCGAAGTTTCCCTGGAGTTTGCTGCCGCCTTTGCATCCCCGCTCTGGCAGGATAGGGGATGAGCTTGGTGGAGGTGAGAGGAGAAAGGATGGACCCAGGAGGCCATCCTCCCTGGGGTCCCTGAGTGGAGGACTCAACCTTAGTGAGGCAGAGACTGTTCACAGAGTCCAGGTTGCCCTTCACTCCAGCAGAGTTGATGGAGAGAGCTTGGATATGTGGAAGTTCAAGGTAATGTCACTTGCCAGAGCAGGGTCTTGGCTTTTTACTGTAGCTTACCTCACAGATTCACATCTTCCCCAGGCTGTCCTCCCTTTGCCACCACCGCTGACTCTTCCCCTCTTCCTTTCTCTCCTGTTTTTTTTTTTTTGTCTGTTTTTGGTTAGAAGTGATTCTTCACTTTTGAGATGTTAGATGCTGTCGAAGCTGTACTTCCCTAACTATGATGCTTGAGTCGCAACTTAGTGGAAAACCACTTATGACTTTCATTTAGTCTAGTCATTAATAGAAGAGCCAATCTGCCCCATTATTTAGAACAATCCAGATTTGAGAAACATATGCAGTAGCTTAGCTCAGGTCAGGGAAGGTAGGGGAACCAAGGTGAACCAAGGTGTCTGAAGCTACACACATCGTGTCCCCACTGCGAGCCCTCCTGGGAGGAGACAGAACTTTACTGGCCTTTGTGTGTCACGGGTCTGGCTTAGGCAGGCACCCTAAATGTTTGTGAAAAAAATATTATAGGAGTTAAGTGAATACTAGGTGAGGCCAAAGGCATGTCAGACCTTTATGAGAAAAGTCAGGGTAAACTCAGTGTGGCCAAGTAATTATTTTATTCACTTATCTTAATTAGGGGTTGCTGTGTTGAAGGCCTGACACTGAATCACTGCCTCATCCTAGCAATAGTTACCATCTGACAGCATCCCTGGTTAGTTGGGGAGATGCTGGTGACCTAAGGGTAGGCACAGGAGATGGATATGAAAAGGCAGCTCGTCCGGGGATTCTGGAGCTGAGCTTAGGGACAACGCATGGAGGAGGCCATGAGGGTGGCTGCTCCTTCCCCGCTGTCCTGCACTCAGGAGGTGACGGTGCAGATAAAGGGTGCCAGTGTCAGCATAGCCCAACCTGGTGTGAAAATTTTAGGCAGAATAACATACCACCTTATTTCTGAGCTGAGAAACTGCCTGCTTACACTGAAAGGTTGCTCACAAATAGTTACTTCTGTGTCTTCTTTAAAACTGCAGCACTTTCCTTCTGTTGTTTAAATTACAGGCTTGCAGCTTTCATCTGTAGTGAGAGGCAGATTTCTTACACCATGTTGAAATCTTTCTGTGTTGTTCCAGGGGTGGGCTGCTATTGAGTGGATAATTGAAGATTCTGAAAGCGCTGTGAGCTAACGGGGTCTGCACCCTGCGCCTTGTGATGAACGGTGGGAACTACAGTATTCTTTAACCTGGTAGAGAATTTAGCAACTTGCTAACTACGTGCATAGTGTGAGGTGCTGGAAGAATGTTTCCGTGATGGAGCTGCATGTGGGTTCCAGCCGTGTGTTCCATAGTGTTCTTGGTAGTGAGAAAAACCACGAGGTTCATCTTCCTAATTCATCTCCTTGTTTCATGGCAGGAAACCTGAATACTTGTTTTCTTGTCTCTAATGAAGTACTTGGTTACATTTCCTACAACTTGTGTGTAGTAAAGAGGCTGTCATTATTAGGGCCAGCCGGTGTTAAAGGCTGAGCTAATGGGAGCATTTTTTCATTTGGGATAGGACTTGAACATTTGCCATGTTATTTTAAAGACTACTCTGTGCCCTTGTGGCATCATGGCAGTGAGGAGAAAGGCTGCGTATGTCCTCACTTACTGTAAGCCACTGGCTGTTTCCTTTTAGTGGCAAAAGCCATTTTTAGCATCTCCTTGAGCTTCACAAATACCCCTTGGTTTCTTAGGTCAGCAGAGGCTGATTTGATATTTAATTGATCAACAGTCATCTTCATATCTCATAAGGAAGTCAGAGTTTCCTGCTGCCCTCCCTTTAGAGAATCCTTATACTCCTGCCTTGAAACTCCTCACCCTGTTGACTTTCTGCACTGTGCTGCTCTGGGCCCCGCTTCCCACTGTTAATCTGTCTGCGTGTCTGCATCATCTGTGTACACGTTTGGTGCCTCAATCAGCAAACGAGAGCCGTGTGGTTCAGGCTTCTTTAAGAACTTCTTACTGATTTTGTGTAAATCACTGAAACCTAAATTTGCCAGACACCTTCACCTTGAACCCAAGGCCTTGGTCTGTTGCTGGGTCTCTTTTCTTCCATGGATGCACCACTAAGGTGACCACATGTAGAGAGCCTGCCTGCTGGGTGAACATGGTTTGTGTGGGCAGTGTGGTGTGTGTGATGGTGTCATTTTGAATTGTGGACTCTGTCACATTCTATTTCCTCATACACTAGAGCTAAACTGCCTCAATCTATAATCAGATGCCTCACCCAAAAAATCAAAGAGGAAAGAAAGAAAAGAAGGAAAGGAAGAAAGAAGTGAGTTCTGAATACGGCTCACCAGTTCGGTCTGGAAGAGATGTGGAATCTGCTAGAATCTGTCACCCGCCTGCTGACAACCTCCGCCAGGCTCCTCCGTGGTGACCTCAACAGACAGGAGGTCCTGCCGAGGCACAGGCAGAGTTCTTGCGGTTGCTGAGTGAGACCCAGAGGAACAAGACCTCTAGCAGGAGGAGGACAAGGGCCATGAAGCTACCACTCTGCTATGCCCTGACTGCCGAGCCAGGGTCCCGGGAGCTGGCTCTACCCCCACATCCCAGCTGCCCCCCTGTCAGCATTTAGTTGGATTGTTCTTGTGCCTTTGTCTATTTTCTCCTTAGCAGTAGCACCCAGATATTTCTTGCCAACTCTTGGGATCTCACTAAATAGCTTTTCTCTTTTCAGGTCACACCCCATTTCCCTCCCATGCCCCTTAATTGACAGTTTTCATCACCAGTCTCTTCACACATATCTGGCTACCATCTGTCACTTCAGATGGTGTCACCATGTACCTTTCTCTTCCTCTCATCACTGTGTAGATCTGTACACACTAGAGTAGGGGCATCCACCCCCAACGGTGACGTGTGTGGTTGATAGTACTGTGAGCTTTCTAAACAGAGACAGAATTGGTCAGGAGAGCAAAGCACTCTGTCCTCAGCCTGTAACTAACTAGTCTGTCCTGCCATCTTGGAACCAGCGACCCCAAGTGCTGAAGGCCTGTGTCACTTCTCATAATTCAGACGTGTCTGCAGGGAGAGCCAGTGTTATGATATGGCAGTAACACCACTTGTGATTTTAAGCACTCTGCTGTCTTATTAGCTCCAAGGTACTTCCAATAGGGAGTTTTAATTTTCCCATATTCAAAAGTAAAATGTAAAACCTCTTTTAGTATGTTTCAAATTATAAAAACTTTAGAGACGGCCTCCTCCGTAAAGGATGGGTAGAACTATATTTCGCTATGTTTTTTTAGATAATACTTTTTGTTTGATAATAATATTTCCAATTGAAAATGAAATTACATTCATTTTTATCAGACTATTTTATGCATATAGCTTAAGGTAAAATAGAGTTAAAAGATTTATGGCAAAAACAATCTCTCTTGGGCCGGCCGAGTGGCACGTTGGTTAAAAGTTGGCTTGGGACGCCAGCTGTGGGCCCCAATTCAGATCCCACATGAGGGCCAGTGATGCTGCACCCTCTACAGCTAAGATGCTGAACAACAGCTCAATGTAGAACTGGGCTGCCGTGAGTCGCCAGCGATGGTGTATGCTGCAGCCCATGTTGCAGTGGGCTGCCATGAACTATCATGAGTGGCTGCCGTGAAATGCCGTGAGCAGCCGTCCAGTGGCCGGCAAGTGACTGTCTCACTTGGGAAGAGCGCAATGATAATACCAACATGGGCCAGTGAAGTGACGTCCTCCACAACCAGACTGAAGAGCAAAAGGACAGCAATTTGTCTGTTCTTCTTCCCCAATTCCCCAATAAAATCTAAAACAGAACAAAGCAAACAAACAAACAAAAAACAATCTCTCTTACTTCTTCTGCAAAGCAAGCTTTGATCCTTCTGAGGGGAGTCTCAACTCTTTTAGCAATTTCTGTCATTTATACTAAATTTCTAAATAAGTAAGAATATTCCACTATTTCTTTTTTCTTAGAAATTTCATTTGGGAACAGTGTGTTTTTCCAGGATCCATCAGTTCCAAGTCGAGTAGTTGTCTTCAATCTAGTTGTGGAGGGCGCAGCTCCTTGGCCCATGTGGGAATTGAACTGGCAACCCTGGTGCTATGAGCCTGTGCTCTAACCACCTGAGCTAACCAACCACCTCCCACTATTTCTTTTTTTTGTTTGTTTTAACTTTATTGGAGAACAATGTGTTTTTTGGGGGAACAATGTGTTTTTTCCAGGATCCATCAACTCCAAGTCAAGTTGATGTCCTTCAATCTTAGTTGTGGTTGGCACAGCTCAGCTCCAAGTTCAGCCGCTGTTTTCAATTTAGTTGTGTGGGGGGGTGTAGCCCACCATCCCATGTAGGAGTCGAATTGGCAACCTTGTTGTTAAGAGCATGCGCTCTAACCTACTGAGTCATCTGGCAGCCCACCGGCAGCTCAG